AAACCTTTGTGTAGGAAACTCTCGGCTAGACCTAGCAAGGGTGCATACATAAGCACACACGGGAACGTAGTCAAGCATGTTCACTCACCCTTGACACCACAGATGCACATACAAAGAAAAGATAAACAGACAGCAGTACAGCAGGGACCGGGAGAGAGAAGGCTTAGAGAACCACAGTTGAAGTAATCTCTGGCTGCTGCAGCAACTCTAGGCAGCTCTGCTATGTAGCAAATCTAAGAAGGAAACCCAGGTAAGTTAGTTAAAAAGTATGACTAATTGAATAAATTGGAAGTGCTGCATATGTCTTTGTAAAGATTTAAAGGCCATTTTTCCGAGGGCAGAAGGTAGGCCGGATTAACTTTCTTTATCCTTCACAAGCTTAGCACAGTGGTTTTAGGAGTAGTAGCTGCTAGATCAACAGTTACCAAATAAAGGGCAGATCAGAGCAAACCAGCTTGTGAAAGCTGAAAGATTTGGAGAAAAGATCTCAAAAATGGATAAGAATGACTAGAAACTGGTAATCCAAAGAATTTGCACATAATTATTTCCCCCACCCCCACTGTTTTTTGTTTTTGTACTGGGGCTTGAATCTAGGGGCACTTAACCACTGAATCACCTCCTCAGCCCTTTTTTATATTTTATTTAGAGACAGGATCTTGCTGAGTTGCTAAGTGCCATCCTAATCTGCTGAGGTTGGCTTTGAGCTCGTGATCCTCCTGCCTCAGCTTCCTGAATTGCTGGGATTACAGGCTTGCACTACCGTGCCAGACATCCACTGTTTCTTACTGCTTATTTTGTCCCATTTAAAAGAAATTTAGATATAAATCATATCATAAAATTCATGATTTTAAAGTATATAATTTAGTGAGTTTTAGTATATTCACAAGGTTGGGAAACCATCACCACTATCTAAGTGCCGGTCATTTTCACCAGGCCCAGAAGGAAACTCAGTAGTGGTCAATGCACAACATTATACATTTGTTAAACCCACAGAATGTGCAGCATGGAGTGAACCTGAATATACTACGGATACACTACATACATCCATATTTGTTCATCAGCTTTACCAAATATGCCACATAGATGCAAATTGTTAATAATAGGAAAAACCATGTGTGGGGTGTGCAGGAGTGGGGGGAGGGACACTCCCTGTACTTTCTGCTCAATTTTTTTGTAAACCCAAACTGCTCTAAAAAATTCTATTAATTAAAATAAATAAAAAACTCCACACCATTAGCAGTCAGTCTACGTCCTCTCTTCCCCTAAGCTTGTGGCAACCACTTATCTCCTTTCCCTTTCATACATAGGTGCTTTAAAGAGGCTTGTAAGTATTTGTTTTGGTAATTACAGTTAAGATAATGTCAAGAGTTCATACATTAAAATATCATGTTTTTATAACTCCTTCTGCCCTTGCTCGAAACATCAGTGAAATATAGGCTTTATGAAAATTAAAATGGCATAGCTATGTGTAAGAATAGGAAAAAAATCTTAGTGATCTAAAAGTATGACAAAAATACTTTCTGCAGTGGAAAACCTGAAGCTCCAGGTGTGAACTCCATGGAAAGCAGAGGCAGTTGGGAGTTTGAGAATCCCTGAAAAATCATTCCAGGAATGGATCGGAATGAGAATCAGGCTCAAAGCCTTGAGCTGGGACCTTTGGAGGAATCCCCCATGGAGCAACATGTATATGGTGTCTTGTCTTTAGTAGCTGAGAATTCAGAGAAAATCAGAGAGAAATATCTGGTGGAGAGGCTCATTGACTATATCAGCAACTTCTGCAACATCACCACAGCGGAGGAAATCTGATATTCTAACCAAAGAGCTGGTTCTGGCCTGGGCATCTTAAGGGGGCCAGAAGATGTAAATGAATGAAAACTCACTAAAGTCCAATATAATGATGCACTTTCAGGATTGCTATACTTCCTAGTAAATTGATTCTTTTATTGATATAGGATCTTCTTTATCACATTTGATATTATATAGAGTCCAACTTTTGTCTTTTGACTAGAGTTTATCTTTTCTATCATTTTATTTTTAATGTTCACTTTCTGTATTTTAAGAATATCATTTTAAAGGTAACTCAGGTTTTTTTTTATAATTGGTGCATTATAATTGTATATAATGGTGGGATTTGTTGTCAGATGGTTGTACCTACACACAATATAACAATATAATTTGGCCAGTAGAAATTTTTTTACTGTATTTTAGTTCTTGCAAATTTTCTATAAGCTTAAATTATTTCAAAAACAATTAAAATTTAAGTTAATAAAAAGACCCAGTGTCATATTTTGTAATCCCAGCTACCCTTGAAAGTAAGGCAGGAGGATCAAGAGTTCAATGCCAGCCTCAACAACTAAGCAAGACCCTGTATCAAAATTAAAAATAAATAATAAATAAAGGGGTTGGGATATATCTCAATGGCATAGAAAATGTGGGTTCAATTCCTAGTGCTTCAAAATCAACAATGAAAATTGAGTTACTGTATAATTAACACAGCCATGGAAGTTATAAATATTAGGAAATCCATATGAGGAAGCTAAAAAGAACAATCACATGATTATCTTTATACATAAAGGACATTATCACTTTTATATCAATTATTATACATATATTTCCAGTTTTTTACATGTCTTTATGCATTATTTGCAGTGGTCTTGTTATGTAGACTTTTTAATATAATTCAATCATTGGTCTTTTATCTTACTGTTTCAGGATTTTAAACCATAGTTAGGACAATTTTTCCTACTTAGAGGTACAGTTATCAATCAGTCATTTAAAAATGTATTTGTTTTGGTTTAATTTTTAAATTATTTTTTTTAGTTGTAGATGGACACAATATCTTTATTTATTTTTATGTGGTGCTGAGATTCAAACCCAGTGCCTCACACATGCAAGGCAAGTTATCTACCACTGAGCTACAACCCCAGTCCCTGTTTTAATTTAATTTTTTCACCAAAATTTCTAATGCATTTGGAAATTATCCTGGCAGACAGTGGACTTGGGGTGGAGTTTTTCTGGTTTCTGTTGTGCAGAAGTGTCAGCCTCTCATGTGCCCTGGTGTTATGCAGGGTCTTGATTCCACCTTGGTGTCTTGTACAGGCCCAAGACCATGTGTTTCAGCCCCTGTGGATGTTAGAACTCCGTCTCCTGGATGAGAAGGTCTAGTGTGTTACCCCTCAGTTCCCATGCTTTCTGCTTGGCTTCGCCTCTCATCTTTGTTTCTGGAATCTGAGGATCCCTCGGTTTTCCTCCCTCCACTTAAGCTTAAATATGTATGTTTGGCTCAGCTTGGAATTTTCCTTTAGCTTGTCTACTACTTCATCCTGGGTCAGTTCATAGTGTTCAGGAAATTGGAGAGGACACATTCTAAGGGGCTTGGAAATAAAATGAGGCAGGTGAACACTTACTCTAGAGGCACCACAAGTTTTTCTGGACCTCACAGCTGTTTTGAAGCATTTCAGAACTTCATAGGCTAGAGCAGATCTTCAAATGTCCAAGCTAGTCAATCACAACTTAAAGACTTCTGAGGTAACACTAACTCACTGTGATCTACTGAGTGTATTGCTCACAAGTGCTGTCAAAGGACAATGCATCTTTGACTCAGACATTTGTTACTTTCTCTAATACAGAGCAAACTCAGTGCCAGATATGTATTTCACATACTAATAGATTATACCAAGATTTTTAAAGAAATCTGCTTTAGAACTATGGTCCATGAACTCTGTATATGGTAGTGAGATTCCCCATTTCACATCTGTCTTGGCTGGAGCACAAAGGGGTTTGGTGGCCCAGTGTGAGTTTGGGAGTCTGTGTAAGACTTATTTGTCTGATTACTTCTATTCTGGAATCCTCATGAGAATCTTGAGTAATCATATATGATTTTTAAAGTCTTTGAATCAACAGCATATGATTAACCTTCTTTGGTGCATGGTTCTATGACCTATTTGATTTGTGTAACCCTGATAATGATGACGCAGAACCGTTCTATCAACCCCCAGACTCCCCCACACCATCCCTTTACCATCACACACCCCCACCATGACTCCCCCAAACCACTGATCTGTTCTCTGACACTACTTTGGAAATATCAAACAAAAGGAATCATTGCATATATAACCTTTTGAGAATGACTTTTTTTGTGACATGACCCTTTGAGAGGCATCCAAGTTGCTGGATTTATCAAGGGTTTGTTCCTTTTTACTGCTGAGTAGTATCCATTGTAAAGATGTACCAGCATTATTTAACTACTCACCTACTAAAAGATATGTGGTTGTTTCCAGTTCTTAGTGATTATGAATAAAATTCATATGAGAGAAATCATTTTATCCCAATAAATGGCACTATGACTTTTCTCTACTTCATCTGAGTTCCTTTTGTCTGACAGTAACTTAGATTCCACATCTACCAAAAAAAAAAAAATTCTGCTCTTAACCCCAAGGATGATGATTAGGGTTTCTTCTTATATCAAGTATAATATGTCTAGGAAAATAAGGAATAAGCAATGGTGATGTCCACTAAGATTGAAGGATAGGCAAATGGCAATGATTCAATATAATTTTAGATATATTTCTTTCCAGAATGCAGAAAAGATGCAGAATAGAATAGATAATAGAACTAGCCATTGCAGTGGTATGGACTTATGTGCCTGCCACTTTCTCACACCCCACAAAAGGGAAACATTTTTGGAAAAATCTTCATGATAACACTAATATATCTTTAAAGCCAGATTTGGGCAATGTTCTTCTTGTACTCGTATAAAAATACATAGTGCAGTAGGTTGTGGGTTGACTCTTGCTGAGGGGTGTTAAGACGTGGTCTATGTTGTCTTCTAGCTGCAGTCATTGCTAACTGGGCCAGGAATGATATTTTCACTTTGAAATATGACTTACATAAAATTGATGTATTTTGTAAATACATACTTTGTGTAGGCATATACTGTGTTATTATGCTTGTATGCTCAAAAGATAAAACTAAACTTTTGTGTTTGTTTTTCTTTCCAGTATTACTTTACTGTTCTTTTTGGCCATGAAGGTCAGAAGCCACTGGAGCTGCGCTGTGAGGAGGAGCAGGATGGTAAAGAGTGGATGGAGGCTATTCACCAAGCCAGGTGTGGACGCAACTTCTCCCATGTGTGATACCTGCTTGTCTGGGTCTTGCATTGGGTTATTACTGTTGGCATGAGTTTGGAAGAACTTGCCATTCCAGAATGGGGTTTCCTTTGGACCTCCTCCTTAGCCATGTGTGAGCTAATTATTTGAGTTTTCTGTGGCTATATTCCAGTTAAAGATTAAAGGTAATAGATAAATAATAAAAACAAATAGTAAATTCCTTTGTGCCCTTCACCAAGTGCTTCTCAGTTAAGGAATTTATGAAATGTACGACTCACCTTTCATCAATCTTCCAGAGGCACATTATAATCATCCTCTCTTTTATAGACAAGGAAACAGGACTGGCAGGTGAGTTTACTTGCCAGAGGTTGCACAGCTAATAAGTGACAGAACTGAGATATGAACCCAGCTGAGCCCACCTTTGTTAATCCTACCTCAGTTATTGAAAACAGGCAATAGCAACCTCTATCTAGGGAAATAGAAAACTGTAATTTTCTTCCTCTTTGGAATACCAGAAAGGTGGAAAGCACCCACAAAATCTTAAATGGGAGTAAGGAATCTGAAAGAAGCAAGACAAATCCCTCTTTGTTTTCCCTCTCAGTTCCCTAGTCCTGTTCATTTTTGCTTCAGATGGCTCCCATGCTGACTGCTTTTTGCCCTGGGTGCAGCTTGCTGTTGTAACTAGCCAGGCACCCTACTTGACTGCCTTTGCTCTGGCTGCTCTCTGTCTGAAGGCTTTGCTCCAGATTCAGGACCAATGTGGAATGAATTGCTATAGAGAGAAGGCCAGGTCTTCAAAGAAGGCAGATGCATCAGGCTGGCAAGGTAGAACCTTGGGTCCTTTGCAGACACAGTCTTTGTGGTTAATTCTGTTCTTTTACATTTGAGAGTTAAAATGCAACACATAATTAAAAACATGTATATTTGCCTATTTTTTTCCATTCCAGAAGAGCAGTTACCAGGGGTAGTATAAATGGCTTTTTAATTGCCAAGCAAATATCTTGGTGAACCAAACTCAGACAGTGTGAGCGACTTTGAAGGTGGTTGGATTTCACAGAAGAGGTCCTTCTTTCTTTGTCATTTTTTTGTCCATATATGTGGATGTGGTCGGTCACTACTGTTATTTGGCATACGATGAAAACTAGGGCATATAAAATTTTTGTTAGGAGACAGACTTTAGAAACCACTTTAGTAGATGATAGAATGGTGACACTTCTCTCTTGGATTTGAAGATTTGGTTAATGATTGATCATTTTTCTTGATGCCGTGAGTCTTTTGTCTGTTAGAATTGTTTTTCCTTTGATTTGAGGTCTGGGATTAGATTCTTTGATGACTCCTTTTAATCTGACTGCTTTATATTTGAGCTCTTATATTTGACTTTTTACACTGAGATGTTTCTGAAATCAGGGACCATAATAACTTGGATCTCTGAAATTCACCCTGACTTTTTTCATACTTAAACAAATCCAGAAAGTTAACAAAGCTGATTCAGAGAAAAAAAAAATTGTTAGTCATTTTTGCTTGACATTGTGCTACTGAAACACAATTAACAGGGATTGGTAGCTTCCCTTTGAGGACAGCTTGATGGCCTTCATTTGGTACTGCTGTCTGTGTATGTGTGGGCAGGGGCAGGGTGCTGGGAATTAACCCAGGGGAGCGCTAATACTGAAACACATACCCAACCCATTTTATTTTAATTTTTAATTTTGAGATGGTATCTTGCTAAGTTGCTCAGATTGGCTTCAAAGTTGTGATCCTCTTGAGTAGCTGGGATTTCAGGTGTGCACCACTGTACCCAGTTGCTGCCTTTTTAATAGAAAACTTTAAAAATCCTAATAATTCCTGTCTTATTGATTCCCTTTTCTGAAGTCTGAGATTTTGATTGACTGATAACTATTTGAGCATGAGACTATTCTTTTCTGAGCTGCGGACCTTTCTGCAAATTCTATATAGAAACAAAGACTGCTCAGAACTCCCTCTCTTGGTCTCTTCTGTTTTCCTGGGATGGTTTTTCCATACTAGCCTGGGTGTGTTGTCTTTGTCTGCCATGAAAATCACATTGTTGCACTGGCTTTTGCACCTCTGAGCAGAATCTCCTTGTCACAGTTTGCTTTAAGATGATCTTTGGATCATTTTCTGGGAATTCTAGTTGCATCTTTTCTCCTTTAAATATGGTCCAGGATTTCTTTTTTTCTTTTGGAATTAATGCTCTTCATTTTGACCTTTGACTTGGTCCAGATAGCCCCATCAGTAAGAAGATGGTCTTGGTATGGAAGAGGACCCAAGTTTTCATCTTTCAATTCTCTTCCAATCCCGACCTAATCTTAAGTTCTGGAATATAGTGGTCTGGAAGAGGAAGAGGAAGGTATTTCATAGATGTTGGGGTAACCTATAAGGATCTTTGGCTATGTGTATAAAGGAAGTATCAGACCTGGGTGGCATCTAAAACATCTCTTGGCCCTTAGCTTGGATGATGTCAACTACTGGGAGAAGAAATAAAGGATAAGAGCAAGTTTGTCAAGCAAAGTGGTGAGCAGTAACCAGGAAGTGCTCTGCAGGGAATTATTAGAGTGTGATTGGTTACTGGGAAGGGACAGTGGGGGAGCTGTGAGATACTGACATGATCTTTCTGTCCCATGACATGGAACATGTGGGAGAATGAGTGTACATTGGGCTACTTGAGAGGTAAGCTATGTCTTGAGGACAGACCTGGGTTTGGATCTTTACCCAAGGTGAGGTCTGGGGAGGGTTTGAGAATATTATGCCCAGTGTGGAGTACTATTAGCCTGCATAGCTGTACCCACTATGCAAATGTGTGGCTTATGCTGTTGGCATTGGAAACTGTCCCGCTATCTTTTGTTGACTTTCCAATTTCTTTAACTGAAACTCTGTTCCAACCTCACCTCAGTGTATATCTTGTGCAGGTGGGTCTCAGGATCTCCTCCAAGTGAGGCATTTTCAGGGAAAAAGGAGTTGGACATATGCTTTCATTCAGAAAAATTCATGTTAGATTGAGTTGGAAAGGTTTGACCTAACCTTTCTTTTACCCTGTCAGTCCCTAACACGATGAGCAGAGAGACTTAATCCTTTAGTTAAATCTTTCATTTAAGCATTGTTATCTTTTTCAGTTAAAAAAACAAAAACAAACAAAAAACTCTGATGCAGCCTCTTGGGTCTCTCTTTTTAAAAATATCTTTATTTATTTATTTTTATGTGGTGCTGAGGATCGAACTCAGTACTTCACACATGCGAGGCAAGCGCTCAACCACTGAGCTACAACCCTAGCCCTCTTGGGTCTCTTTTTTATTTATATATTTTAGATTACATGTGCCCAAGAGAGCCTGTTGTCCATATTCTCTCCCCTCACACCAAAAACACACACACACACACACACACACACACACACACACATGTACACACACGCACACACCCACCCCATGTTAACTGCATGGAACACCAAATGCCTACTGCCTGCACCCTCGTTCTTCTTCCTTGGTTAAAGTTTAATTTAGAGCAAAGTATATAGTATAAAATCTGTACCACCCAAAAGGCATTGTGTGCTTCTTATCCCTATAAGATCAGCCCTCTATAAAATGTGCATGGAGAAATCCCTAACAAATCAGAAAAGAGTGATTACATGGAATAGCTGAAAATATTTTATGTGTTATAGAAACATCACAGAACTAGACAATCAAGAATCGGCAGTGATGTGATAGCCTAGAGCAATCCCAAAGCCATATTTTATATTCTTCTTATAACCTTAAAGCTGAAAACATGAATTTTGTCCATCTGCAATATTATGGTTTTGGTAAGAACTTCTGTCTGGGATTTGCCTCCAGATTTGCCATAATGAAAGAGAATTCATTCCCCCTTACACTGTGTAAAGTGCTAGTGAACTGTGAAAGATTTCACTTGATTTGATGGTTACTTGTTTTCTGTAGGAAAAAACTGAGCTTCAGTTTCCTTCTTTTCAGCCCTTTGTCAATATCTTCATCTGTCAGTTGACTTTCCGGCTCCTCACAGAGTCTTGCTTCACATGCTTGCCTTGCCCCTGAAGCACTGGGAGACACCACAGTCTACCTTTGTTTGTTCTTTTAACTGTTGTTTATTTACTTCTCTATCCAATGCTAGCTCTGCCCTGCCTTCCCAGACACAGTGAGCCAATGCAGGGATGCCCCTCCTGAGCTCACCTCTGAGAACTTCTCATGCCACCCTCCCCTTGTAGCTTGAGCTCCAGGTGAGCGACCCCACCCAGGAATCTCACTGTCCTGGGATGACCCCTCCAGTCTGACTTACACCAACTTGTCTCTCAGAATGTAGCTCTCAGTCATCCACATGTCTTCCCTGATGCTCTTCTCTGCAGGAAGGACTGACCATTCCGTTCTTTGATCCCACTGTCACCTCTTATTTCTCTCAGTGCAACTAAGAGATTATTGCGTGGATTTGCTCCTGTTTCTGTTTCTGTCAGCCTGAATTTCTTCAAGGCTAATTGCATATTACTTATCTCTTTTTCCCTTTTCCTGGCTCAGTGCCCAATTGCTTTTCGGAAACACACATGCCAGTTTAATAACCTTCACTAGAATAAGAGAAAAGCTGGAATCATTTTTTATAAAAACCTTTATTATATTGATGGATGGATAAAAAAATGATATCGTGGGGTAATAAGCATTTTCTTGGTTATTGACCACTTTTTGCAACTGTTAAATATTTGTCTGTATTTCCCATATGAATTGTCATTTCATGTCCTTCCCCATTTTTTCTACTGATGTTTTTCTACCTTTTTTGTCCCCCCTTCTAAATGAGCTCTCTGTGTGATGGATATACTTTGTTTTTATATTCATTGGATATTGCCTACACCATTTTTTGGTCTTGAAGTTGTATCTATGGAATTTATTTTGACAAAGACTCTTTGAATTATGATGCAATAAAGAATATATTGTTTTTGGGGAAAATTGCTCCACTGCATTTTGTAAAGTTTATCTTTTAATTGATTTGTATT